AGGTATGTAGGGAGTACAAGGAAGGCACAGGGTAGCATAGGACCCCTGCTGAACAAGAAGGAGCAATTAATGACAGACGGGGGATAAGGCTGAGCTATTCAGTGAGTTTTTTGCCTCAGTGTTCTTGAACAGGGGTCAAGATAAGTCTCCTAATGGGTCCTTAGATGGGCATCAGAGGGACACCTGCCTACCAACTGTCAATGCTGACTTGGCGCAGAGTCACTTGGATGGACTGGATGTGTTTAAGTCAGTAGGCCCGGGTGAGCTGCATCTGAGGGTACTGGAGGAATTGGCTGGAGTCATAGCAGAACCACTGGCACAGCTGTTTGAGTGCTCATGGTGCTTGGGTCAGATCCTGGAGGACTAGAAAAGGGCAAATGTGGTTTCTATTTTGAAGGGGAGGAAGGAGGATCCTAGTAACTATAGGCCAGTCAGTCTCGCCTCCATCCTTGGAAAGGTCTTTGAAAAGATTATGAAGGATTATATTTATGGGAGTCCAGTGGGAAAAATAATGAGCAGGGAAACCAGCATGGATTCGTAGCAGGTAGATTATGCCTGACCAACCTGGTTTCGTTTTATGACAGGGTCACAAAATGCTTAGACACAGGAGTAGAGGTGGATGTTGTTTACTTGGATTGTAGCAAGGCCTTCCATATGGTATCTCATCCCATTCTCATAAAAAAATTAAGAGGCTGTGACAGATGTTTACAAGGTCTGGTGGGTGGCAAATTGGCTTAGAGGTCATACCCAGAGAGTAGTAGTAGATGGGTTGGTATAGACTTGGAAGGATGTGGGTAGTGGGGGTCTCACAGGGTTTGGTCTTTGGACCTGTACTCTGCAATATTTTCATCAGTGACTTGGATGTGGGTGTGAAGTGTACTGTGTCCAACCCACAATTTAGTATCATCTGCAAACTTGAAGTGCACACACCGGAGGGTAGGGAACAATTGCAGGCAGACCTGGACAGGTTGGAAAAGTGGGCAGTATAACAAGGACAAGTGCAGAGTGCTGCACCTAGGGCCCAAAAATATCCAGCACGCCTACTGGCTGGGAAGTGACCCTCTCAGCAGCACAGAAGTGGAAAGGGATCTTGGAGTCATAGTGGACTCCAACAGGAACAAGAGTTGTCAGTGTGATGAAATCATCAGCAAAGCTAACCACACTTTATCATGCATCAGCAGATGCATGACAAATAGAACTGAGGTGATACTTCCCCCCTATGCGGCATTAGTCAGACCACAGTTGGAGTACTGCGTCCGGTTTTGGGTGTCATACTTCAAGAAGGATGTTGATAGACTTGAGAGTCCAGAGGAGGGCCACTTAGTCTCTCCTCATTGGGCTTGTCCTGAAAGCCCCTATCCATATGAGGGACCTGGACCTCTTCAGCCTCTATGAGAGAAGGCTGAAAGGCAGTCTTGTGGCTGCCTACAAATTCATTAGGGGGATGCAGCAATGGATCAGAGATGCTCTGTTCGCCAGGGTGCCTCTTGGGGTAACAAGGAACAGTGGTCACAAACTGACAGAGAGCAGATTAAGGCTCGATATGAGGAAAAACTTCTTCACTGTGAGGGTGGCCAAAATATGGAATGGGCTTCCAAGTGAGGTGGTGCTCTCCACTACCTTGGGGGTGTTTAAGAGAAGGCTGGATAGGCATCTGGCTGGGGTCACTGGACCCCAGCACTTTCCTGCCTAGACAGAGTCAGACTCGATGATCTGTTGAGGTCCCTTCTGACCCTAGCATCTATGAACCTATGAAAACATTTACTTTTTGTGGCAGAAATAAAGGTTTAGATGGTACAAGCTGGTGGTTCTCAACTTGTCTCACCCCAACTGCTGTTGTGCTGCCTCAACTTACTTCATTGGTTCTTAACCAGTAAAAAGTGCCTTGTGCACCATCACGCTGGGAAGGGCTAAGGTAGAAGAACCCACTCCTGCTGCAGCTCATCTCATTGTGATCCTGTATGGCATCTTCTAGATGCCATACTGAAAAGAGATGGAACTGTCCCTGCACCCCAGTTTCCAGGAGCAGCATGGTGGGGAAGGGCTGCAACATAAGGCAGCACTTCTGCCTCAGCCCTCCCTGGTCTGGCTGGGCATGAAGCAAGCAGGCCTATACTGAAAGGGCCTCCCATGGGCACACATGTTTAGAACCACTGATACAAACCCATCCTGAATAAGAGATAGTGAACGACAGGAAATAGAGAGGGGTGGGGTCTGGCGAGTTAAGACCAGGTAGGATATTAGTGTGACCTTTGTCACATCACCTCTCTGTGTCTCAATTTTTTCATCTGGAAATAATGCTTCCCTGCATCACAGGCTTAAAATTCAGTAACTTAAGATCTGTGGAATGACATTGCTATATATTTTTCTCTTTATAGACGGCTATTCCTATGAGAAGGAGGCAATGGAAAATTGGATCAGCAACAAGAGACGGTCTAGTCCCATGACAAATCTCCCTCTCCAGTCTCTTGTGCTTACCCCAAACAGGACTCTGAAAATGGCCATCAGTCGCTGGCTGGAGACTCAGCAGAAATATAATGAAACAACTTAATCTTGAATGCCCCAGCTATTCCTTGAAACTAACTGAATTGAAACTGTAGGTAGTTGAAGAAAACAGCTCTATCAGACATTTTAAAATGCTGGAGAGAAAAAAGGTAAGCTTCTGTTTATGGTGTCTTCAGGCTGGAACTCCAACAAAGGCCTTGAAATTCAGAAGTCACACACAAAAAAAAATCATAGAACATACATTTGGGCACCTCATGTAAACTACTGAAAATATTTTTTTTAATACTAGAACTTGAATTACCTTGTACTGTTTTTATAAGAAAAAACAGGCTAATTGATAATATGCATGTTTCAAAATAAAGTTGTTACAATTGCCAGTATTTTAATGTCTGTCCTTTGAGTGGGTGCGAGTGTGTGTCAAAAAAGTTGATTTAACCATAACAAAATAAACTTCACAAAGCCAAGCAGTCTCTAATAAGGTTGCCTTTAATTGCATGATCACCTATTACCTGCTGCCCCATTCAGTGCAAGAGATGAATGATATATCCTGCTGGGTATATCCCAGTAGGAGTGGGGGAGTTGCCCAACAACAGGCTGATTTAGAGCTACTGAGCTCGTAAGGAGCAGTAGTTCTTCTGAACTACTTCTTAGAGAACCTTGGCTTCCAAAAACCCAAAGTTAAGTGATAGAACTGGGCTTAAAAAATAACAATTGCTCACTTGGGACAGAGGAATGGGGGCAGAGAGGATTAATAAGAGACTTGCAACCCTTTTGTTGGTGGATTTGTCTCCTTTATTTGTTTAAACAAATGGCCAAGGTGCACACAGACTTGATTTGGTGCTTTCTTTGTGGGATCTTACACCCAACTCCATACCATTTCTCTGTGCCTGGGTCCCAGTGCTGCAGCTGCAGTCATTAAGTTAGTTCTGCATAATATATTGCTTGAGAACTTTAGGGAAAAATGACCAGGCAGTAAATGACAACCTCCTTATAATATGGTAAATAAGTGACCACAGTGTGAGAGAATGAATGGAGGAGATAGTCCCTTCCATCCTCCTGCACACTAGGGGATTCGTATCTAGACTCGGCTTTCCTTGGAATTTCCAGGCATGGTCCTGGGCACCCAAAGGACTTTGTTTATTTCTTTTACGAACCCTGCTCTACCCTCTTGCATGCCTGCTCTGCTTTTTTTTACCACCTCTTCAACAACAGGGAACAAAGAACAAGACATTCTTCAACTGGTGGGAAGTCACTGCTTAAAGTTTCTACAAGATTAACTAGATCCACTTCACCCAGTTTCTGCATGCTGCCTGATCTTGAGTGACACTTTTAATGGGGTGCAAAAGCTGAAGAGAAGGAACAATGGAGGTATCAACCTACCTCTCCTGTAAATAAGCAGTGCTTCCCCTGTTTTCTTCAGTCTTCCAGCAGGTAGTGACAGTATTATATATTCCTCTTACAGCTTTGTCAGGTTTTTTTTTTTTCTTAACAGCCGAGAACTTCAGAGGAAAAAGTATAGACTTTGGCTGTTTCAGACAGCAGCCCATCTGGACAAAGGTGAGTGACCCTGCTTCTGTGGCAAAGGGGGTCTCAAATCCAATTTACTTTATAAGTGTCAAGGGAAAGTTTGACTTATTTCCATCAGCACCAGGTTCCTTAGTAGCTTTGGCTGATGCAAGTAAATTCAGTTCAGGCAAACCCTTGATTTAAAAGCAGAAGAATCCAGGCTGCATAAGGTTTTGGACCTGTTCCAAATGAAGAGGAAATTGGTTCCACCTCTTAGCATAACTACTACTTCCCACCCACTCCTGCCCCTCAGTGTAGATTAGTTTAGAAGAATCAGTTCCAAAGCAACATAAAAATAACTAGAAAGAGGCAATGTTATATTAGAAAACAAAGCACTGACCCAGTTATAGCAGCTACAACTATTACTTTGGGTTCACCATTATACGCAAGTTCTACCTGATACTCGTATAATTTTGAGACGTGGACAAGCCCTTAAAGCAAATCTGAACTGTTAGCAGACAGCTTCTTAAGTATTGTCCAAAATAGCCTCTCGCCCTAACAGTCTGGAACATGGGAGGAGTTCTTGGATCTTGCGTCTTAAACACTCCTTGAGAATGTTTTTTTGACATTTAACACAGTAACCTGTTTCATTGCTGCTTCAATGACTGTGGCTCAGCTCCACAACTGCAGTCTTCCATCTGGGGATCAAGGCAGATCTCACGATTTAGAGCTCTGTTCTTTCAGTATAGATTACTGCAATACTGGTGAAGCTGAAGGGGAAGAAGCCTCTTACCTACAAAATTTCACCCGCTCATTCTCTAGCTTTCAGTCATCAGTGTTATCATTCAAGTGTTCTTTCAGGTGTAGAGGGGATAAATTGTATAACAATTATTAACAGAACCTTACCTGTGACTGTGCAACTTGCTCTAATCGATGTCAGCTGTTTTACAACTCAGTTTACACATCAAAGAATACCTCTCAACCCAAGACTATATTAATAGTCTTTATTTCATATGGAAAAATACAGTAGCTGTGCAAAAAACAGAACTACAGAACAAGAATAACATAAGACTCGTCCAAATAACCAAGAAACAGTAAACAATAAATAAGCTAGAGCATAATGCAAACTCATTCAGGAATTTGTAAAAAATGTGTAAGGCTGTTTTTACAATGTACATACACACTGTACATGGGAATAAAAGCTGAAAAGTGACTGAATACTCCAACTTGTACAATACAGATCTTAATTACACTCACAGGAATGTCATTACAGCCATTCATTTTGAAAACATTCTTGCAAATATAGAACCTTTTTCTATGAAAAACCTCACAACCCCATCCTAGAAAGTATCTGCACATACACTTTTCCTCAAACTTTCATCTTCATACCTTCAAAATAATACATCAGGTTTGCTATAAAATCATTTTAATAAAGTATTTTATTCCTGTACCTTTTCTCCATGAATGAATGATGCATCATTTTGCATTAAGGTAGCACCTCAGAGGTGTTTAGATAAACTATATAAAGTGCGGTTACGGTTATATTGTTAACATGCCATAATATAGTATTATTCAGTGCAATAACCAGGAAAGTTGAAGCCTTTAAAAATGCATGCAAATCTGTCCTTGTGTTTCTCCAGATCTTACTTGGTTTCTTATAGAAACTAAAACAAAAAATAAAATTATATTTACATGTTACCACATGGCTGCTTGTAGATTATACTGTTACACAAATGACTTGAAAAGTTCCTAAATTTACATTATGCAACCCAATTATATCCTGCTAGAAAACTGATAAAAATAATACAATAGCTTTTGGATAAAAGCATTCATTTACAGACCGGTCTGTTATACCATGAATTCCATCCTTATTTATAACACTGTTGTGGGACTCAAATGCTTTAAGCACTGGAAAGAGGGATGGCTAATTATTATGCAGCTGATGAGGTATACAATCAGAAGCCATAATTAAAACCCTATATAAGGTGAAAATGTTAAAATCTTATAATAACCAGGATATAATGGAAAGTAAATAATTTCCACGTTTGAGGTCCTAATGTGATGCATTCATAAGCCTAGTTGACCAGGTATGCATGACTCAATTGTTTCCAACCAAACTTGACATTCCAGTTAATATTCCTATGCTGTGGTGTTGCAAATAGTGTAAAAAAGTGGTTGTATCCCATATTTTGTTAGTACTACTGGCCAACTTGGACAACCTACTCAGACTTGGAGAAGTGGCCAGGTAATTAAATATTTTATTTAGGAACAATAGTCTATGATGATGAAACAGCCTTATATTAGTGATTAATGAAAGCAATCAATATGCTGTTATGCACCGAGTTTACAAGCGCATGTTGTTTATTATTCTGTTTGTTATACAAAAGGATATATTCTATTCATACATTAGACTCAACAAATGAACGCTTTGGTTTTGCAGAAGAGACATGACTTAAATGGCCTTCCTTATTAATATAGGACTGTTGTTTAGACGGAGCATCTGGAAACAAATGGGAGACAGGCTTAGATGTCCTGCTGTCTTGAGAGTGGGCAGGCATTTGGCTCTTGAGCTCTTTGAGTTCTTTAGCCTGCATTCCATTTTGGATACCTTCTCCAGGGGCCATAGCTGTAGAGGAGGTTTTGGTTAAATTACTGTATCCACTGGGCTGTTTGCCAGAAAACTGCTCACAGGTTGTGGACTGAATGCCCCCACCAGAAGCATTTGGTAGCAATCCTTCAGATACCTGGCAATTCCAAGTGCGATTTGTTTGACTGCTCTGCTGCTGAAACCTGGCAGTCTTATCCATGATACCCATAAATGGGGTATTGCGTGGTCTATGTTCAGTTGTACTACTTAGACCTTGGCTAGGTTTATTTTCCTTAATTCGAACATCTGGCCCTAGTCCTTTCATGTTATCTGAAAAGCTGTTGCTTGAAGTTAAACTGTTGGAAGAGCTGGAAATAATCAAGCTGCCAGATGCAGAGCTAGAAGAGACAGCACTTATTCCAGGCCCTTGCAGCCTTGCTTCACTGAAATGCATTTGAACTCCTTGGGTGGGTGCTGCTTTCTCCATGGCTGCTGGCCTGTCAGTGGTTTTGGACTTACTTGTGAATGAGTGAGCAGATGTACTCTCACTGTGCTGTAAATGGGAGAACTGGTTAGATGCTAACCTTTCATTGTAGAGGCCAGAGGAGGCTCCTGTGGGAATGTTTCCAGATGATACAGTGTTTGTCCCATCTATAAACTGACTTTTACTGTTGGCCAGATTTCCAGGGTGTCGACCTGGCATTGGACTGGAGGGAAGATGCTGAAAAGATGACTGTGTCTTTGTACTACACTGACCACTTCCAGTTCTTAGCCCTGACTGTGTAGAGCTCAAATGCTGATTTGTTTTTACAATCTGTGCTTGCTTTGTAGGCTGCATGATCAAACCCGGCTCTCTCAGATATTTACTTCCTGCTCTGTTCTGAGGGGATGCTGGTCTGGCTTTCTGCTGAAGGCCTTCTTGAAGGGTCCTACTGTAAGGTGAAGCAGCCAGGGAATGCTGCAGCCTCTGTGAAGGTGGAATGGACTCATCATGGTATGGCAGTTCTTCCTCTTCTATTTCTTCAAGACCCATACGATCATTCAAACCTTGGCCAAGAGCCTCCTCTTCATTGTCAGAGTCATTACTCTGCTGTGCCGGCTGAGGAGACTGCCTCTTCTGCTGCTGGGTTCTCTGGAACTGTTTGCATTCCTCTTCTACTCGAGCCAGGAGCCTTTGTATTTCTTGATTACTAGGACACAGCTTTATGGCTTCTCGGAGGTCAGCAAGAGCTGCAAGAAACTGTCTGTAAAGAAAGAAAATTAAAAGGAAACCATTCTCAAAGGCACAATGTCATGACTGAACACTGGTGGTCCTGTATCTACTATTCTCAAGGGAGCCCTTTGATCTGCTGTCTCATCTGAAACTCTCCTGCCTCTGGAGATGGAAAGGGTTGGGAATCGTCTACACCAAAAGGGCACTTGGGGTGGGGAAAAAAGGAGAGTCCCATGTCCTTCCTGTTCCATCCCAATGGAAGACCCAAGTCCAAGGTCCTTCAAGGAAGACAGATGAAATAAGCAGGTGCATTGGTAGCGCTGCAGAAAATGGCAGGAGGGGGCTCAGCATCAGACTTACTTCCTTGCAAACAGCTGGCAGATATCCCTTGTAATGCTGCCCGCCCCAGAATGAGTGCTTCTTTTACCCTTGCTAGGAGGGGTGTGTGTACCATGGGAAAAGAAAGAAAAAGATCCTACTCCCTACCAACCAGATTCTTTTGGAGGGTGAAGGCATCCACCACTTCACGCTACTGGCCACACCATAACATTTTAGGGTTCTTCTGTTCACTCGTCCTATTAGCTATCTTTGGAGTCCTGTAAAGAACTGTTGATGAACTTCCTTTGGCTTGCCAGCTTATGGAATGGGTCAAACAGTCTTGTGGAAGGAGTCACAGATGATTGAGACGTAAGGGGGAACGCAGCTGAAATTAAAAACTGATGTGGTTCCTTTACACAACTCCGACTATTTCAAAGAACTGTTAGGGAGTCCAGCAATAACTGCTTATGCTGTGTTCAGTGACCTCCCATATGTCACTGAACTCCCAAGAAAAACTACTAACATGAATGGAAACAGCACGATGGAAGAGGGGACCAAAATGAGAGGGAATCTGCAGTAAAATCCCAACATTCAGGCACTTTAAATTTGCACCAGATCAGCTATGGAAACATGATGTGGGAGAAAAGTTAGGCAGCTGCTGAAACAGGTTACACAGCAAAAAGTTTAGACAGTACCTGCTATTTCTTTTGGCTCTTGCTCTAGCATAATAGGCTTCATAAGATTTGGGTTTCAGTTCAAGTGCCTTGGTAGCAAACTCTTCAGCCATGCCAAAATCCTGACAATAACAATTATCTAGTCAGCTCACAGGGACAAATAATTTAGAAACATGTTACATACACTTCACTTTCAGACACCACCAGAAACAGTAAATTTTGAGAGCTTCTATCACACAGCCCTTCAAACTGACAAAAAAAAGTAAGCTGGTACATTAAAATCAGATGCAACTGACAATGCTACCCACTGGTCCTGTTGACACAAGGAAACTGACTGATGTAACTATCCTGGTTTGCTCCCTGTGCGGACACTGACTATGTCTACATGAGACAATGACTGCGCAGTTGTTTCTGCACAGTCATTTAGTATGTGTATAAACAAGTACTAAATGACTGTGCAGTAACTGGAGTTAACTGTGTTGTAGCATCGCCGAATGGCTTTTAGGTGACGCTGACCACGCAGCTTCATTACTACTGCGCAGTAGCGTTGTGTTACACTTCATACCATGCAACACTACTGTGCAGTAGTAACGAGCTACTGTGCAGTCAGCATCTTGTGTAGATGTGGACACTATTTTGGAATCAAAAGGGTTTAGAATGTAGAGGACTTCAAGTCAGTAAGTTTCTTACTTCATGAGTAAACTTAAAAATTGGGACCTCAAAGAAATGCCTGGATGACAGTTACAATGCTAATAAGGAAGGACAAAGTGTCATGGCTTTAGGACCTGGGAAGGCAGAAATCCGACAGACTACATGTGGCCCTGAAAGTGACTCTCACTTCTGGAGCAGCAGATACCATGTCCGTGGCTTACCTCTCCCCATCTTACCCCTAATTTGAGGCTGGTACCACAGGAGTATTTTATACATTTTTCCCAACAATAACTTTTCCTGTACCTGCTTCAGCTCAAAAGAAGGAACAAGTCAGAGGGACACTGATACCAGCATAGTGTGCATGTCCTTTATACATTTTTAGACCTGGAGCCTCAGGTTTCCAAAGCAAGAAGGGTACAATTAACAGAAGAACAGTAAGAACTCACGTTTGTTTTTCTGCGGCACCGTGACAAGTTTAAATACAGCGAAACTCTCAGCTCGTTGAAAGCTTTCATTTCTTCTCCAAACCCTTCCCGAGGAAACTTCCTTAGGGCATGCTGATATCGCTGAGCTGCTTCTTTCATCTTCCCTTTCTAAGGGTTAGAACACAAGAGCATTAGATGTTGATTTGTAAATGCTGCTTTAATTTTAAACTATATTCATATTTGCCAGCTGGCAACAGAAGCTCTTCAAACAGATTCAATTTTTATATGTTGTTTATTTTCAAGTAGTTACATGGTGAGGAAGTTCATGAGTTAATATCTGGGAAGTAATTTTTAAAATTGGGGTAGCTATGCAAATATTTACCAGGATAATATTTATACTTAAATACATAATGCCAGTGCTGCAACAGAATCCTTCTGACACATAAGACCTTTCGCTAATACACCTACTTCGTCCTGTTTAGCTGTGGAATGTAATTTTTAAACTAAAAGCAATCATTTAGTTGGCTTAAATGTCTCAACAGCAATACTGAGTGGCAAATGATGTCTTTAAGGAACAGAAGCAGGGCTGATCCTTGGGCTAGATTGGGCCTGCAGACTAGCCTCATGCACTGGATCGAGTGCGGGGCCAGTTTGGCACGGTGCTGTGAACAGCATGCTCCCTGGACCTGCCTGGAGCAGGCAGTCCTGCACTACCATAAGATGATCTCAGGAAGGGACACCTCCCATCCAGAACGTCATACAAAAGGCAGATTTCAACAGCTTCCAACTTCATTTTGGACCTGGAAGCCTTGTTGCTGTCTTGTCATTGCTGCAATTCACTTGAGTGGTGAAAGGAATCCAAAAGATTAGCAGAGGACATCTCTATGGTGAGATGTATGCCTTTGAGAAGCTTTTGCTAACACTTCTTAGCAAGATTTGATAAGTGCTAGTAACTGCTTTAGTTCAGGTGTGTCAAAGATATGGTCTGCAGGACAAACCTGGCCCATGGAGCCCTATTGTCTTGCCCTTAGCGCTGCCTGTGGGTCTCAGATTGAACCTGCATGCTGCCACTGTGCTCTGAGCCAGTCTGGGAAGATGCTGTCCTCACCACTAAACCAAACCAGCCCCACAGTCTGCAGGCCTGATCCACCCCTAGAACCCGCTGAGCACTACTCATCTGGCCCACAGCACCTGAGGATTTTGACACCTCTGCTTTAGTTAACAGAATTAAAGCATTCTTTTTTCTTATTTTTATAGTAAATTTCTTTTTATAAACTTCTCTACTAGTTTGTATTACCATTGATGCTAAAGTCACTTTGAAGTCTTCTCATTGTGGTGTCTGTTTATAAATACATGCTTACATTTTCAGAAGTGACTTGTACCCTGGGGTATGTTGATTTTTACATCCAACCTGAGAAACTCCATAAGGTCTCAGTGTTAAGAGTACGAGTGCTTCTGAATACTTCTGAAAAAACTCAGATAATCTATGGCATCAAACTGAATACCTCAAACTGAGGCAAATACAGCAAAAGAACAAATCAGGTGCAGAAGACTAATACAGCTCCCCCAAGGAAAGACCAATATTATGCCTCAGAGGAAGCAAGGAAAACACTGTTACCCCTGAATACTGTAAATAACTGAAACTAAGCAAATGTCGATTTTCTGTAGAGAAGAAAAAACAAAACTGCACCCTTTGATTACCTGCCAATACTCAGATTTAATTCTATTTAATGCCTGTTAAGGTAGACAAAACTCCAAAATGACATGTCAGTGATACACTGGTCATACCATGTTCTTAAAAGCAAACAAACAAATAAATAATCAGACTTTTAGATATTCAAACTGAAAACCAGGCCACTGGAACGTGCATAAAAATAGCTTTAGAAGAGAGAGAACAGGTTTTCCTCTCTTAGAGTTGCAAAATAGTTGTTACATACTGTGAGCACAATCAAACTGTCAAATATGCTTTAGACTGTATAATAATTATCCATTTAGTTCATATCTGCTTGTTGCATTTCTGCAAATGAATCAAAAAAAAATCTAAGAAAAGATTCAACAACCCCAAGCCCTTGGAAATCAGTGTGGACTGCTACACTAAAAGAAATCAAATGATCTTATGGGGAAAAAACCCCAGCACGGATTTCAGACCTCTATTAACAACTAATAAAACACATGAATGGGATCTTGCCCTGCTATCCTGATCTGTGAGTACCACAACTGAAAGAGACATGGGGGGTCTTGGCTGACCACATGCTGAACATGAGCCACCAATGCGATGCCATGGCTGGCAAAGCAAATCAAACTCTGGCATGCATCCACCAATGCATCAAGCAAAACCAGGGACATTGTCCTCCTGCTCTACTTGGCCTCAGTGAGGCCCCAGCTGGAGTAGTGTGTCCAGTTTTGGGTCCCCCCACTTCAGGAGAGCTGTGGATAAGCTTGAGAGAGTCCAGAGGAGAGCACCCGCATGATCAAGGGCCAGGAGAGCAAGCCTTATGAGGAGAGGCTGAGGTACTTGGGACTCTTCAGCCTGGAGAAGAGAAGGATCAGAGGGGACTTGGTGGCAGCCTTTAAGTACATAAGGGTGGTGCACCAGGATAACAGTTCACCAGGGCTCCCCAAGGGATAACAAGATCTAACAGGCACAAATGTCTGGAAGGCTGATTTAGACTGGACATAAGGAAAACTTCTTTATGGTCTGCAAGCACCTATTCTGGACTCATTCAAATGCTGTTTGGATGCTTATCTTGCAGGGGTCATTTGACCCCAGCAGACTTCCTGCCTATGGCAGGGGAGCTGGACTCGATCTTGAGAGGTCTCTTCCAGCCCCTAATGTCTATGAATCTTATGACCTAAGCAGAAAACAAACCTAGTCAGCAAATTAATACAGAGCTAAAGAGGAAGGACTTGGTGCTGGTAAATCAGGAACCAGCAGTTGTTTTTCTCAGAACCAACCATGAAGCAAAGTTTTACATGCTGCTGGAGGACCCTTCTGCTGGAGGGGCTGAGATGTTCCCCAGTCAGACCCTCTCAGAGAACACTGTCATTCTCTGTGCTTAAGTGTACATATAACAAAGTACGATTTTACCCCATGCAAAAGGCACCCAATTCTGAACTCTTAAGTTAGTATTCAAAGCTCCCTAAATTATCAGGGGATTCCAAGATTTTTTCCTATTATTTAAATGAAGCCAAGCATGTCCACACCACTGGCTTACAATGGCATAAACTGGAGTTAGCAATAATGATGCCATGCACCATTTGCCACTATGCCTTTTAACTGAAGAGACTATTAGTGTTTTGTACACATTTGAGCCTCATATATTGGTATGAGATAGCAACAGAGATAAAGTGACAGAACTTTGTAGCCCCAAAAGGAATGACCCAATACCTTTCAAATCCAATGCCAAAAATAGGCCTCAAGTGACCTTCACAATTGGCATGTCAGACATAAGTCAGATACAGCAGATATAAATCTACAGTCATGTCCAAACTAGCTCTTGTAAAACAATGCATCAATAGTTAAAAACCTGTATCAAATATGCTCCTATTTTGCTCAATTCATATGTAAATGGCATGCAGAGAAATAGACAAACAAGAAGCTGTGCTTGAATGCACCCAGCACATGATAATTTAAATAAGGTCCCTTCAGATGAGCTTCCTAACCTTCATTACTCTTAAAATAACTAAAGACTAAGAATCTCCAGTGGGTGACTAGATGTCCACCACATGGAGTCTAGGTCACGCCTCAATCCAGTCATCCCTGGACCTGGGTGTTTTGGATCGCACGCTCTTTTTCCAGTTCCACTCCAAGCTCCTTTGTCCAACCCCCAATATGAATATAGTGTACCTAGCACATATAGTTGCTGGTACTTTGCTAAAGGCAAAGACAAAATGGCAGGTCTTTTGAATAGCCTGAGTCTCTCCTTACCACTCTTGAGCCAAAGGCTTATAACTTTCTTTCTTTTTCAGCAAGGAAATTGAATTTCTACTTACTTTGTACAGTACGTTTCCTTCTTCCATCAGCTTCTGCAGTAGAATAATCAGAATGTCAGGTTTAGAAGTGGCCATTGCCCAAGCTGCATTTCCTGCAAATTACAATAGTAAACATTTTTAAAGGGGACTTTGGTATTAACATATTTACTCATATACTGATTTGGCAGCAGCTGCAACAGGGTTAAACCTCTAGCTTTTGGCTGAGCAGGAAGAAGTGGGCAAGTGATATAGACAGTAAACTCTGCCCAGTGCTGTGCAGCCTTGGGGGGGGGGCACAACAATTCTGGAAAAATCTTTTTTTCATTCTGCCTTCCCAAGAGAAGGTACCTGTCTTATCTGGGGGCACATGGTACACAAGAAAATACAGTAATGGGGAAAATAAAGCATTGGTTCACTCGCAAACACTTAAATTTACTCACTATTTCACAAGTGAGGAATGACTGCAGAATTTTAATACTTGCAGCAGCTTGCTATTAATGGTCCAGAACAGGTTTACCAGGTTTAAGTCCCAGCACAGGACAACACTTAAGTGCATGTTTAACTATTTATTTCCTGAAGTATACTGATATCACAGGTTCAAGGGCATGTTATCTACTTGCTGCTCATGAGGCATGATGGGAATTGTTACAAACAGAATTTTTTAATCTACTTTTTCATTGTGACAGAAAAAATATTAACTCAGTTTTATGTTAAAAGACTATTATTTAGGCTTTCAAGTCATTCCCTCAGACATTTGGAAATAGAATTAATGTAGTCTGCCCAAGAATAATTCAGCCCCCTTGTACCCAGTCTTTAATGAAAGTTTCCACCAGACCTTTCAGTGTACCAGATGGACAAACACTGAACACAATTAAGGTTGCTTGTGCAATCCCAAGTCTGAAATTTCCTAGCACTTGGTGCGATGGACTTTTCAGCCTCAATAATGTTCTTTTTGTAGGTTGATGCGATCCACTTTATCAATTTTCATTCAAGAAAAACTCAGTTACACAATAAAGTAATTCCACTATGGCAGACATTTGAGTTTTCCCCATTCTAGGGAAAAATGCTTTGGTAGTATAAGATGGGTTTTACTAACCTAATTTGGCTCCTTTCTTAAGTAGCATGACCACTACTGCTGTATTTCGACATCCAATTGCTCTGTCCAATGGACGCATACCACTGTGGTCAACATGTTCAATCACTGCACCCTTCTCCACTAAATACTGTACCTAGAACAGAAAGGTAGAAACAAACCTTTAACAATTCTCAGCAAGGGAAGCAAAGGGAGTTCATTTTTAGCACTGGAAGTTTCTGAGAAGACCAGTACAGGTATTCAGCCTGCAGGCACTGCCCCTGGCCCCCTTTGCTCTCCTGTGCCTTCCCCAGTCTGGGTGGATCCTGTCTGGGCAAGGTGTGGAGAGCAGCAGCTGCTCCACTCCTCCAGGTCCTGAGGAAGTGCAGTGGTGGGGACTGGCTCTACTCTGGATCTTTGGGAGTGACACAGGAGGAGCAGTAGGGCAAAGCCCCATGTCTGCCTCCCCCTGTTCCCCAGATGGGGCAATTTCTGGTCTGAGAAAAGGAAGGGAGCTTCAGCAGCTGCTTCACACCCCACCAGAGCACTCCTAGTCTGGGAAAAGGCCCTCTCCTGTTCCCCAGGCGAGGCAGTGCCCAATCACAGGAATGGGCAGCAAACACTGCCCCACTCCCCTCCAGAGCCAGTATACAGGCTTGTGAGAAACTCGCTCTTAGGGGAGATCTCCCAGGTGTCAACCTGGATGATTTTTCTCCTGGAAGGGGCATGTTTCCTCTAGGAGAAAATGAATACTTGCTTGTATACTTGTAGTTTCTACTGGGGAAACAGCAATTCTCTCAGCAGAAACATAATGCCTCTGTCTGCCGTACTGACCTATATCGGAAGCAGTCACACTTTTCTGAGAGCGCCCAGCTCCCCAACACATACAGAAACCATGGAAGTACCATGGTGAGGTTCAGACTAGTCTTACTCAAAGTTTCCATTCAATCCTATCAAATATAAATTAAAATAACTTTTTTGATCAGTTGGCAGCAAAGAAAAAGGAAATGGCAATCCGGAAATAGTTACAGACTGTGATGGCCATTCTTTCACTTCACTGATTTAATTTCGGTGACACAATCTAATCTGTCAGTAGCAGATATATACCGAGAACACCATAAGGATGACACTTCATGCTCATTCCCCTATTTGTGCACACAGTGAGCTTCAAAATGCTGACACAGCAATTTGCATTTGACTAGAGAAAAGCTAGGATGAAAATATAGAGGAGCGGTGTGAACCGTATGTGCTTCAGGGTAATTAATAGAGGTTTTCTTACAGCATTTCAAAATAATGTTGTGACACTAACACAACAAGTGTGAAACTACAGTACCAAAATGGTTTCAATTTGTTGATAGTTTGGGGAAGAATGCAGCACGGTACCATAAAGAGGGACATTCAGGCTACCTTTCCGCAGCACTCACATATAGATGATTGGAAATGTTCTAGTTAAAGTAGCAATACTGTACTAATAAATAATGACTTCCTAGTCTACCTGAAGAAACCTAAAGTTAAATTTATTACTTTCTAAACTACTTATTAGAGGAGTTTGATGCTGCAGTGAAGAGATAAAGGCATAAAGCAGCAAGAAGGGCAACAAGGATGATTAGTGCTATAGAGGGGCTTCCACGTGAGGAGAGACTAAGGAGACTAGGCCTATTCAGTTTAGAAGAGACACTTGAGAGGGAACACAGAGGTTTAAACACTAGATGGGAAGAGAAAGTAAATAGGGATTTATTATTTACTCTCTCAATACAAGAACTAGGGATCATAAAATCAAACTAGTAAGTAGTAAGTTTAAAACTAACCAAAGGAAGTTCTTTTCCACACAGCATAGCTAAACGTGTGGCACTGAATTACACAGCATGTTGCAGAAGCTGACAGTTTAGCCAGATTCAAAGAGATTGGACAAACCCTTGGAGGAAAGGTGCATTCAGTAGCCATTGAGCATGGGAGTTAGGAGCACAGCCTCCGAATCAGAGCTTCCAACTTCAAATGCTGGAGACTACAATTGGGAGAGGAGCAGTGCAATTGTGGGGGACTACAATTCGGAGAGGGGAAAAACTCTGGTCACATCTTGCTCACTCTCCCTTTCAGCCTCCACTCTGCCATTGTGACACACAGGATACTGGGCAAGATGGACCTATGGTCTCCCCCAGTAAACGACAGTTCTTATATGGAATAAAAACAAAGCTCTTGGTGCTGCTGCCAGTCTGTTAGACTGACTGTCAGTTAGACCTGCTCCAGCAACTCCTGCCACCTCTACTGCTGGTGAGTTGCTTGCTTCTGATGTTACTAATTTTCCTATGTGTCACGCCCAAGATATACTGTCCCCATCCAGACAAGGGAGTCTAAAGATCAGCTCCATCCTCCTATCATTGCTGCCAGGAAGGCCTGAAGAGTCTATGGAGATGACGCGTAGGGGTCACCAAATGAAATCATGATCAGATTCCTCTTGGAGCAGTCCTGCTACTACTGCTTCTCGGGACTCAGGAAAACCCTGATGATCATCAATCAGAGAAATGTTCAAAGGTGAACTGTGCTTTAGTACTCTGCACAGCTTTCATGCGCGACTGAACCAGGGGTGCTTTTCTGAACAGAGAGGACACCCTGCTCCCCAACACATGCAGAAACAATAAAAGTAGCATGTTACAGTTCAGACATTGCAACAGGCATACACTAAAAGAACTAAAATAGACACATCAAACCATTACAGCAGCTGTGCTCCCACACGTTTGCTGGCTGAAAATATGTACTATATAATTTCTTTGAAATGTGATTTCTGAACCCTTGCTCCCTCGGGAGTTTATATCACAAATAACAGACATCCCAAACAAGGTTTGTCTTGCACACAGTATCTGATGAGCAGCAGCAGTTTGAAAATCTCCTCCTCCCCCCCTGCCCCCCCGCC